GAGCAGTCAAATAAGCTGGATAACATTTTGTTTGATGATGAGGAAGATTTCAATGTTAGTGTCAGTAGCCAGGCTTCAACAAGATTTTCAGAAGATCAAGAGGTTGCTAATGCAGATTTATCAGAGGTTTCCCTTACAGAAGATTTTAATTTACTTTTTGCAGAAAATCAAGACCCTTTAAGCTCTTTTGGGAAAGTGGATGTCTTGGTTTCTCCTTCTCGAGAATAGCTTTGGCCTTTGGTAGTCGAAAAGGCTTCTTACGCTAATAATCAAAGCTTCTTTAAATATTTTAAAGATGTTGGCGTTACCCTAGTTCCAATCAATGAATAGGTAGGCTTTAATTAAGGGCATCAAATTTTTTAGTTGGTTCCATATTGCAACAGATTTGAGAGTTGAGATTTTTAGTATTCGTCTTTTTTCGGTGGAGAGAGGTTTCAAAATCATTACTTCTTCACTCTGTGGGGTCAATTTGCATTAAGCGATTATTTTGGTATCCTCCTCAACAGACAGTCTTTTCCTCCTCAGCAGATAATCATTTTGGGTTTGCTAGGCTTTGTTGAAGAAAGTTTCTTCGGCCTTCGTTCTTTTAGCTTTCTGATATTTCTTTGATCTTGTATATTACCTTGTATTTTAATTCCTTTGATTGGTTGTCTTTCTTCTTTCTTCGCTTCCTTTGGGAGCTTGTACCCTTGAACTTTTTTCTTCCTTTTCATTGTATCAATGCAAAGTTTGTTTCTTGTTAAAAATAAATATTAATCTTGAAGTTCAAAGTAGAAGATGGGAAAGGAATATGGTTATGAGAAGACCCGTGGGTTGAAGAGGCTCCTCCAGCCGACATTTTCCTACCGTGAGGAGACTTCCATATTTTTATTGTTGGAGGCACCATCGGCAAATTTGAGATCTAGAGTTCAGGAAAGGGTTATTTGATAGGGAGTTGAGCAGCTAGATGGTGTGATAATCGAGAAGGTCAATAATTTTGTGTTGGAAAATGAGCGTGAAAAGGCCGTGTAGATCCTTGAAAAGTCTAGGCAGTTTTCTTCCAAATTAGCTTTCGTAAATCTAGTTCATGTGCCCAGAAATAGGAGATCGCCTCTCGTGACCAAGCTTGGAAGTTTAAAATCTTGAAGAAAGTAAAAGTTTTCTGGCACACAGAAGCTTAAATACAATGGTTAAGTAGCTGGAGCTTGTTGCCTTCTATTTGTTGCCCCTACCATACGGATGGAGAGCCTTTTGGACAATCTCTTTCTGCATTGTCCTTTTACGAGGTGGTTGGGCATTTGTGCTGAATGAAGTGGCTGTGCATCATTGTCTTCCCAATAAAAATAGAGGATTGGTTGATAGAAGCTACGTGTGGCCTTTGCCACAGAGATGGAGGGTCTTTAGACCATCTCTGTATTTGTCCTTTGGCATATGGGTATTTGTCCTTTGGCATAGGGGGTGTTTGTGCTGAATGATGTGGGTGTGCATTGATGATTCCCAATAAAATGGAGGATTGGTTGATAGAAACTTTGGGAGGACTAAAATATTTTGGAATTGTGCGGCTAGCGGCATCTGTGTGGAGAGCGAAATCAGAGGATCTTCACATATACAGATTCTTTTTTATTCATTTTGTAATAATGCCAAGTATATGTTGTCTTGATGGTGTTCAAACCCTCCTAAATTATTTTGTAATTGTAGCCTTTTCTTGGTCATTAACGATGCTATTACTCTTTACTTCCCTTAGGCGGGGATTTCCTCTACGAGACCCTAGATTACTTTTGTTGCTCTTTTCTTTTTTTAATATTCATGAATGTCAAAACCAACTTGCGCGCACCTCAACTAATTTCACGAGACAATCGTCTAACCCTACTACATTTGGTTGACAAGATAACTCGTTGAATATTAAATCCTAGATGGGTAGCTACCATCATTTGAACCCATCCCCCCTAAGCCCTTTACTATTTACGTTCGCCCTTATTAACCATTAGGTCAACCCATGATGGTTTTGTTGCCCTTCCTTATAATGTATTTTCTATTTCTTATAAAAAATATATATATAAAAATATTAATCAATACTTTGGAGCATACTCTATACAACTAATTAGTAAAAATTTTGATACCATATTACAATAGAATAGAACTCGTGGAATGAAATATCTAGTTCAAAATATAATTTTTCAAACAAAAAGTTCTGTGAGCATTTTCATTTTACTAGATTTCAAACATCTGTTATATTTATGTTTTGGAACTTGAAAGTGAAATTTAAATTCTATTGTACTTTTTAGTGCCAGGATGAATAAACTAAATTTAAATTTGTAATTGAAATAAAATGAAAGAAACTACTCAATCACACCATTTATTAGATACTAAAAGATTAGAACTAATATTGAAGTGGAGAATAAGGGCAAATAAAAACTATCTTCCCCTTTAAGTCTCTTTTTTACTTCCTCTTAGCCAAGGGCATCGACTCAATCACATGAGCCTTTCAGCAGATACTCTCTTCGACATATGAATCTATTCTCACTGGTTCAATTCCTTATGTCTCATGATTCCTCTATTTCATAAACAACTACTCCACTATAGTAAAGAATCCAATTTATAAGAAAAATCAACGACAATTAAAGACCTCAACCTTTTGAGAGTGATCTTCACAACCATTGGAGGTATACATTCTTAACGTGATTATAAAAACAATAGTTTTCTCCCCCATATCTGCCTTCAGCCACTTGGCTTCAACTTCAAAACCTCTTCAAAAAAATACCACACAAGTGGTAGTGGAACTTCTCAGACATTTTTGTCATTTTGTAGATTGTCTCTGATTTTGAACAGCTAGAGCCCTTTTCTGTGGAGGCTTGCCTTTTTTTCTTGGCTCCTTTTGTCTTGGACTGATTTTTTTGTATTGCTCAATTGTATATCCTTTCATTTTCTTGTGAAAGTTAGGTTTTTATCAAAAAAAGATCGTCAAACAGCCAGCAATAGATTTTCAGCATTCATAAGAGCCACAAAAATAATCTTGTCCTATAAGATTGTCCAATAAAAAAGACGAAACTTTTTCTTCATCCAAGAAATATTCTTTTCCACCTCTATTTCAAAATATCCAAAAAAAAAAGGCTCCTCTAGTGTTTTACCGGAGGGATTAGCCTTGTCTTTGAAATGTCATCCTCCAAAAAAGAACTAAAGCAAGCTTTTTATGTAAATCGGAACCAACCAACCAAAAGAGCAAAGCAAGTAGAACCAAATTGAGATGTCATAGGGAAGTCAATGAGAAGACGACTTTGGTAAACAACAATTTGGTGGGAGTGAAATATTTGGATTTTTCCTTTGCACTTTCTCCTACGCATTATTTTCTTGGGGCACTTTTCCTTTCACACCCATTTGCAAAGGTCAAGACCTGAAGCCGAGAGATCTTTGATGAGATCTTGAAGAAGGGATTTAACATTGAAGGCACTAGAACAAATAAAGCTCATCTTCAGCTTGATTAAGAAAAGTCTGTAAGAGAGTTAATGACAGAGATCCAATCTTGAATCTCTATGCCATTAAGATTTCTAGAAGTTGAAATCGCAAGAGGCATTATAGGAGTTCTAACTTGGTTGATAAAGAGATCCTTGCTGTTGAAAATAACATAAAGTCTACGAAACAGGTTTGAGAGAGTTTTACTGTCTTTCCAAAATGCTGTTCGAGGCATTTTTCCACCAAGAAGTTGACTCTAGAAGTTACAGTATCTGCCAAAATCAGAACATCTCTTTAAACCCTCTAGAATTTTTAGTGGCATTAGGTGAAAAGAAAGCTACCAATCATACTTTTTGACCCCAAATTTGACAGCCACAGCTCTTCTTCCATAGTGGATGCTTTTCAAAAGTGAATCTTTATAGCCATTCTACAAGGAGGGCAAGATTCTATTATAATGGGATACAAGGAGAGCACGATTCTCACTATGAAGATTACTAAAACTGAATCCTCCAAAAGGGATTGGAAATTTCACCTTTCCCAACCTACCAAAGGGTATCCACCTTTTGATTTGTAACTATCCCCATATATGTCCCCTATACATTTTTTAATAATAGAAGGAACCTTGTTGGGGAATCAAAAAGTGCTCATGTGATGCATAGGTATGTTCGAGAGAGAGGTCTGCAAAAGTGTGAAGTGAGCATTCCGCTTTAAGAGAGCAAATTCCATTTCTAGTTTGAGGTTTTCCATAAGCTGATATTCAACACTACAACCACCCAATCTACCTAACGTTCCTAACCTTGAATTGTAATAGTTAATCACAGCAATTTTAGAATTGAGAGGTTAACTTCAAAGCCAAAAGTTCCCTCAAACGTTTTAATAATATTAAAAAGATTAAACTAATCCCTGTTGTGTTGATAAATGAGGAGAATGGTATCGTCAATAAACTGAAGAAGGTTATTGATAAGAAAGAATTTTCCCGCATTGAAACACTCCAAATGGCCAAAATCAAGGCCTCTAACAACCTTCCCTTGGTGATTTTAAAACAAAAATCAACCATCGTACTTAGTTTTAGGCCAACTCTAAATAAAATAGGAAGAATTTTGTAACTATTACAATTAAAGAATCAATTGTTCTCCATCAGTGACATTATTTTGTGTTTTTTGATATGAAACAAAGGATGTATTGAAACTATAGAAAGAGACAACCTAAGGGCCCATCAGTGACATATTTGAATATGAAATTCAATCACAAAGCAAGGGCTTATTACCAAATNCAAAAAAAAAAAAAAAAAAAAAATCTCAAACTCAACAAAGTTTAGCAGGTTGCATCAGTAATTTAAGTGACATGTTCACATGCAATACTACCACTAGCCTGAAATTCTCGTTTTTTGAACTAACAGGAAAATGATAAATGAGGGAAGACTTCAGTTCAGATATTAAATTATTAATTGTGGATATGCATAAATTCATGAGCAAAGTAAGAAAAGGCAGATATTTTGAAAACATTACGATTTTCAACTAAAATGTCAAATTAGATGCTATGAGACTATATTCTGAGAAATCAGGGATTACTTGAATAGTTGCTAAGACGCCACAGGGCCCACCTTCATGCTGCACTAAGCCCATTGCTGTTTCTGGATCGGGGCTAAACCTAAAGAAAGTTCTTTCCGTATTAACCAATAAGGGTATTGAAATGAACATGCCATATATACTTTGATTCTTTTATAACTCAAAGTAAAACCGGTTGAACCACTTTGAAGGAAAGAAACTCTGCATGTCATTGCAAATTATAGTTTGTAGTGGAAGTGGACCACAGTTGATGAACTCAACGTTCAAAAAAGAAATGCTGTAATATATCAAGAATCAATTCAGATACATACATATCACAAAAAAATGGCACCTTTAAAATTCAAAAAATGTGAAGTCCTATTCTAACTACGAGCCATCAATTCCACTTGCAGCCCTATTATTCCATGATAGTTCGTTACTCTATCATGCAGAAATCAAGTTGCAACATAAATAAAGCGATGCTAGAACAGAAAATTAGCACACCTTATGCCCTGATTACTCCATTGCGCAAGTATTTCCTTGGAAACCCCGTCCCCGAACACCATTGAAAACAACTGGTTGGCTTCACTCTCCAACAATTCCTTCCCCAAATTCACATCCTTCACACTAAACTCCTTGTCTTTCTTCCCCGATTTTGATGCAGAACCAACCGCTTGGGAATAGCTCTTAGAAGCCAGCATTCGCTTTTCAGCAGCAGCAGCCATAAGCTCCCGCTGCAACCGCCGGGTCTTGACTTCCGGAGACTCCTCCGATGAGCAAGTCGGAGGTCCGAGTGGGGAATCCCTGGGCTTGCTCCGTTTGGGTTCCGGCGGCGAGTGCTGCTGCATGCTCATCCGTAGAGCCGTCCGGAGGTCCTCCTCCTCCTGATCCGCCATTGAATTCCTGCAGATCCGGGAGCAACAAGCCCTAGCCAATTAAGGCACCAATTCCAACGCCTTAAATCAATATCATATATCTGTTTTTTAAGGATTGAAAATGGCGAAAACAGGACGAATTCGATGAGACTTCAAAGAATTCGACTTCAAAGAAGCAGGTGACTGGAGAAATTTGGATTGGAAATTTGGAATTGATGATTCTTTTTCTTTTATTTCTTCCTTTTTCCCCCCCGAATTTGGGGATGGTCCGTCTGCCGGTTGGAGTGAAGATACGATGTCGTTTGGGATTGCTTTTGAGTTTTTGCAGACACATTTTCTAATTGCAACTGTCACTTTTCCTTTTCTTTTTCTTTTTTCTTTTTTTTTCTTTTTTCGCCTTTTCCTTCCACATATAATTATTTAGATTACACAAAAAAAAATTATTTACATTACACAAAAAAAGTGTATATAGCTCGCTTTATTTATTTTTTATTTTTTGAGTGCAACAAGTGAAGCGAAGGATTCGAACTTACAACTTCATAGTTAGAGATAGATGTCAATACTGTTGAGCAAAGTTCATGTTGACGCTCACCTTTTAATTGGAGATTCTCATCCAACGTTTTTTATTGAACTCAACAAAATAACTCCTTTAGTCCCCTTTAAAACCTATTTCGATTTTTTTCAATTTTAAAATTTGTGTTTAATAAGTCTTTCAGTGTTACACTTTCTAATTGGTCTCTAAACTTTAAGAAAGTATAATGGACCTTGAAATTATGTGTTACAGACATGTTTCTACATTTTTCAAATTAACCAATCTATTATAAATAAGTTTGAATTCTGTATTTAATAAGTCTATTAATGATTTACAAAATATTAATTATGTCAATGACCTATTATTATATAAAATTTAAAATCCATGAACATATTAAACACAAAATCGAAAGTTTACGTAAACATTTTTTTTAAGTTTACGAAGTTACTAGACACAATTGAAAGTTTGATAGATACCTATTATATACTTTTTTGTAGATCTATTAGATACAGATTTGAAAGTTTTAAAAACTAAAGTTATAAATTATATTTCTCACCATCTTCGGAGTAATTACCAAACTCTTTATATTTGACAACTCTTCACACGTTACACCCATATATTTGTCTCGATGATCTATTCATTATAATTTATAGTTTTTCGATAATCAGTGCTTTCAAATATGATTAAAATCAAACTCTTCAAACGGAAAAAGTGGAGAACTAAATTAAAAAGTCATTGAAATGGGTTCACCAAAGCATGGAACTTTTATGATTAGTATGTTATACATCCATCCTCGACCATTCACATAATTAAAGAGTAGCATTGAATAGTCAGCCTATGTTTCTTTCTAATAAAACTTTTAGAGACTAATTAAATTTGGAGAAGTTGAGGTATGGCAATTAGCAAGTTTAATTTTTTTTCCGTGTTGTTCGAGGCCGTTTTATCACCTATCACGTGTCGACATCTAAGAAGACTTTGTACAAGGAATTGATTCAACGAAGAACTTGCAAATCCCACCAACTCGGTATTGCACATCCAAGCTGGTCTAATTTCACCTTTCGGGCGAAACATCACGTCATGTTTTCCGATGTAGACACTGTATTTGGTCAAGCCCAAATTTATTTTGTCTAAAAAAAAGAAATTAGAAAATATATATTTTTATCTTTAATTAAAAAAAAGAAGAAAATAAAATGTTTTAGAATAATTATGGGGTTTGAATTTGAATTTTGATTTTTTTGGTTAAGGCTACGAGGTTTTCAAAATTTGAAATATACCAAAAACAATCTTAAAAAAATGAAATATTCAAAAAAATAAATAAATATATATATATATATATGAAATTTGAAGTTTGAAATTGACTTCAAATTTCAAATTGATTTTATTTCCTGTATTTTTCAGTTAAGGTTGGGTTTTTTAAAATAAAATTTCAATTTTATTTTTTATTTAAACGCTGGATATTCAGTTAAAAGATTTACAAGATCTAAAAAATGGATTCTTTTGAGCCTTATATAAAGAGGGCTCAAACAACAGGGTGGAAATGAAAAAGTTTGGAATTTTTGTTTCTAAAATTTATTTTAAGTAAAACACACACTCTCTCCTCGTTTACCTATTATAGTCTCATTTTCTTCTTCAACACTTTCTCACTCTAAAAATCAACCACAACCATCTATCTTCTCTCATACTCCATCACACTCCAGTGGCGGGCAACTCCGACGGCGACGTGGAGTGCGACAGTGAGAGTCGACGACCTTGACGAATCTCCCCCCATTATGTGGGTGGGTAAAACCGTTTTTTTCGTGTGCATCTTGGTAGAGATTTTAGGCTGTTTGAAAATTTAACAAAATTTGGACTGTTTTTTGGGCTGGAAAATTCAACATTTTTTTACTGTTTTCGGTGTGAAAATTAACAATTCTAGGACTGTTTTGAACTGAAAATTGAAAATTGTTTGGGTTGTTTTCAGTGTGAATTTTGGGGCCATTTTTCGGTGTTTTCTTGGGCTTAAAATTGAATATTTTTGGGTTATTTTTGGTGTGAGATTAAAATAAAACAAAAAAAATCATTTTATTGTTTGGACCAATAAATTAATAGGATAATTTAATATAAAATATGTAACTGACGTTCGAGTCCCGAACTAAAATCTAATACCATTTTTTTAGGTGACCAATCATCTCTAGGGAGTCTCCACTGTGGACAACTTTAGAGGGTCAATCCTAATATTTTGTCATTTATTATCCTTTTGTAATCTGTTTTGGTCTATTTTATTGTTTTTTTATTCATATTATTGTAAATATTCAAGAAAAAAAAATCAAATGATTGTTTTTTAATAGTAATGATTTATTTTTGTAAATTTTATTTTGCATCATCATGCATTTCACACACATTCACAAGTTTCCTACACTCTTAGATCGAAGACTGAGTAGTGTGACCTTCGAGGATTTTTCGAATAGGTGCATGAAATTCTCCACTATACTGAGAACGCATATGGAACATTTTCCTCTATAATGCATTAGAAAAATGACCTCAACCCATATTTATATTGTATATTATTTTTTGTTATGCTGTCAAGCCATTAATGGTCATAGTGTTTGTTTGGGGAAGGGTATACTCGGGACACGTGGAAGACCCCTATTGGTGCCCCAAGATGACTCATGAATCACGCCCAGCTCGGAAGGCCGAGATGC